ATCATTGGAGACCGCGACAAAGCGTGGACCTCCCGATTCTGGCAACGCTTACATGAACTGTTAGGTGTTCGGATTCAACTGTCAACGTCCTACCACCCGCAGGCTGATGGGCGCAGCGAGCGCTCGAACAAGACCATAGGTCAGATCCTACGGCATCTCGCAGCTGACAAGCATGGGAAATGGTATCAGTCGTTGCCTTCGGCCGAATTCGCCATTAACTCCGCCGTGAACGTGTCAACTGGTGTCTCGCCGTTTCACTTCGTGTACGGAAGAATACCACGATTATTCCCAATTCAAAGCCCATCGGTAGACGACAATGAAGAAGTGACGCACTGGATTGAACGTCGTGATGCGGAATGGGCGACATGGCGAGATAGACTTTGGCACAACCGAGTAGAACAAGCGTTACACTATAATCGAAGAAGGCGTGAAGGGTTGCCATTTAGTGTAGGTGACTGGGTAATGGTGGATAGCGCTGATCGACAACAGGTGGTAGGAGGTAAGGGACGTCCAACGGGCAAATTGCGAGCTCGTTACGACGGACCTTACGAGGTTCAAGAGGTGTTGAATGGGGGGCGTGATTTCAAATTAGACCTTCCTGGAAATGACTCGACACACCCGATTTTTCACATCTCAAAGCTTAAGATCTACCACAGCAAATCTGAACCACATGACTCCATTGCAGCCGTGAGCACGGTTTCGTTGCGTCGGAAAACAACCCCAGGACGTCCGATGGAGGAGCCTTTGGGGCAAGCTACGAAACGTAACGAGGGGGTGTGTGTCAAGCCTGATACGCTAACACCCCCGCAATGTGAGTGCGATACTTCATTATCTTTCTACAATTGTGACGCAGTTGGCAAGCTTTGTCCTCTCCTAAATAACAGTGCACATAGCCATAACGACATAACCATCGGAGCGGTAGCACGAGTAACCAAGGATTGCAGTCTTATAAATGACTTTGTCACGGCCGAAAACAGCCTCAAGGAACCAGGGATTGGAAGCCTATGAGGCAAGCTAGGACGTTTGACAAGGGGGTGTGCACTAGATTAGTGCGTTAACACCCCCGCAATGTGAGTTTGCCATTGGTTCCTATTTCATTTCTATGTCACGAAGAGGCTGGCAAGCAAAATCATCTCCTGCATTACAGATTTTACGAATACACGATAACAAGTCAGAGGCTTTACAAGGCCTGATACACAAGTTTTTCAAGATGACCTTTTCCTCAAAAATTTCATATAATTACTTCAAGACTCAAGATTCACATCAAGACTCAGAAGAAAAAAAAAATTATCATTATTCACCAAATCTCTCAATATATTCATCAGTTTCTTTTTTCCTTTTCTCTTTTTTTTTCTTACTTTGATATCTTTTCTGTTTTTGATTTTACTTTTGCTTCTAATTATCAAAACAATTTTGCTTTCACTGGGACGAGTTATGGTCAATTTTTTGGGGCGTGTCATGCCATTTTTTTTCTCTCTTTCTGTTTTTTTTAGTTGGGCTGTGTGGTTGCCTAGAAGGAGGCTTGATTTTAAGGAGGGGAGGGTGTAAGGAGTACACATAGACTTAGCAGTTATGGGAAGTGTAGCATGGGATTAGCCAGGTCATACTTTATGTTTCTTTCCAACGCCCGGCTTCGGAGAGTCCTCACTACTCAGAGAGCCAATTGTGGGACTTTCTGGAGCTAGGTGAGTTTCTCTTCATCTTGTTGTTTCTTTTCTTTTGGACTTTGTCGCTGACTACTCAGAGAGCCAATTGTGGGACTTTCTGGAGCTAGATCGTAATTTCATATAACGATGTTCCAAGTTTATCGCCCGTAGTGCTCTCTCGAGGAGTCGAGCCAGAACCTTATCTGGACCCCATTGAAGGTTCCCACGGAACCTTACAGTCAGTTGTTACAATAGTGATCGATGATGAGCCATGCCTGATGTTGTGAATGTTTGCAGGATCCAAATGGGACAACCGCCGAGTGGAATGACGAGATTCTTGAGTTTCAAGAGTATCGTTACATAAGTGCCCCCGAATGTAAGCAGTTACGATCAATGTTGCTCATGTCAAGTGGTAAACATCGCTAATCAACGTGTTATGCTTATTTCTCAGGTGCGTACCGACTTTTTCAATTTGCAATGAACAGTCGAGATCCGTTCGTTGTGAGGCTCAGTTTACATCTAGAAGACTCTCAATTGGTTTATTTCACGGACGAAAATGAGGTGCAGCATCGGTTTAATGTGGGGCCCCCACCAAAGTCTACTTTAACGGAGTTTTTCCGACTATGTGCGGAAGGTGCACTTGGAATGGGCAAGGTGAAAGCCAGTGACTTCAATACCGCAAGAGCACCGCACTATGTTGCAGTTGCGGTGCGGTTGCGTAGCGCTTTTGGGCGCCGTAATAGCAACGCAATATAGTGCGGTGCCAGCGCTCTGCAATCCGGGTTCAAAAAACCCCTTGCTCAGAAACCCGCACCGCAATTGCGGTCGGTTTTTGACGGTTATTTAGGGCAAATATTGCGGAAATAGGGCAATATTGCGCATTTTCCGCAATATTTGCCCGACCGCTCCGCAACAGCGAGTTAGAAAAAAAACACCCCATTGCGGAGTGGTTGCGTAGCGTAATAATGCGCCGACTGCGCAACACAATGGAAATAGGTCGAAATCCATTGCGTTGCGTAGCGCTTGCGGTGTTGGTGACTTACTCTATGTCGATGTCGTCAAGTACTTTTTGTGGAAAGATGGCGGCTTTCTGCCAAGGGAAAGGGAGCTTCGCCCGGTTGGTAGGATGTATTTTGCTAATGTCTCGGATGGCGAGAAATACTTTTTACGTTTATTGTTGTGTAACGTGAAGGGCCCAAAATCCTTTCAAGACTTGAGGACTGTAAACGGCGTAGTGTGTAATACCTTTCGTGAGGCAGCTGATAAATTAGGCTTACTGGAATCGGATTTGCATCATGAATCTGCTCTCGCTGAGGCGGGACTTTGGGCGTCGTCGAAACAGATGAGGACCCTTCTGGCGTTGATCCTGGTATATGGAGTCGTAGCATCACCCGACAATTTATGGGAAAAATTTAAATCCTTTCTCTCTGAGGATGTGGACAGACAATTGGCGGAATCCGGGTATAAGGATCAAATCACAGACGACGTTAAATATGCTTACGGTTTCGCCTTGCTAGATGACACTCTTGCTGATATGGGAAAGGATGTTCATGATATTGGGTTTAACACAAACTTGATCCAGTATATAGACCATGATGTCGTTGCCTCATTTCCACCGGACACCTTTGATCTAGGACGTGGATTACTATCTTTAGCATCATATGAAGAAAGGCTCCCGACACTGAACGAGCAACAATCACAGTTAGTAAACTACGTAACGACTGCGCATGAAGAATGTCGACAAATTTTATGCTTCCTGGACGGGCCTGGTGGAACTGGAAAAACTAATACCTTGAACACCATCCTACATTACTTTTACTCGAAGAACCTACTGCCACTTGCAGTTGCATCTTCAGGTGTGGCCGCAATCCTTTTATTGAACGGGAGGACAGCACACTCAGCATTTAATATCCCATTAAAGGTTGATAAGGAAAGTACATGCGACTTAACTGGTAGAGATGCAAGGAGCAAAGCTATCCTCAGAGCACCTTTAATAATTTGGGATGAAATTGCAATGCAACATAAGCATGCAATTGAGGCTGTAAATCGAAGTTTACAACACATGTGTCGCAACAAGGCTCCTTTCGGAGGCTTGAGTGTTATCTTTGCCGGCGATTTTCGGCAGACCTTGCCGATTGTACCTCACGCATCAATATGGTCACAAAGAGACGCATGTTTTAAGACTTCGTTCCTGTGGAAGCGCCTTCAACAATTTAGTTTGAAAGAAAACTTGCGTTTGAAAAATCAAACTGGACCGGCTGGAGAACAAACACGACGATTCGCAAAGTACTTGCTAGATTTAGGTGAAGGCAACCTTCAAGACAAAGACACACAGGTAGTACCTATTGAATACATAGCATGTGATCTACTTCCTAAGTTCACATCATCGGCACCGAATCTGATACAATGGCTGTATGAAGACGTTGCCAAGTTTAATTCTGAGACAGGATGGAGGCAATTGGCGGATTACTACTCCCAGCGGTTGTTAATTACACCACTAAACTCGACCGTCAGTGATATGAACAACACTATCTTAGAAAAATTGAACGACGACGTCTTGGTTTCCATTTCTTCAGATGAAATGAATGAAGAGTATTGCGATCCGGTTGCTACCGAATGTCTCAACGACATTGATTTCCCAGGTTTCCCAGATCATAGAATTTACATCAAGGTGGGCCAACCTATCATGGTGTTAAGAAACCTTCACCTAACTGTTGGCCTGTGTAATGGAACTAGGTTGGTTGTAATGGAGAAGAGCAAGAATTTTTTGAGGTGCATGGTAATGACTGGGCCAAATTACGGAGAAGAAGTCGCCATACCACGTATGAAATTCATCCATTCAGGTGATTTAGATCATCCAATCCCGTTTTCAAGGATTCAGTTTCCAATAACGTCCGCATTCACTCTTACAATCAATAAAGCTCAAGGCCAAAGTTTAGAGAGAGTGGGGATATTCTTAAGTTCTCCAGTGTTTTCTCACGGCCAACTATATGTGGCACTTTCAAGGTGTACGTCATTCAAAAATGTCCGAGTAGCTATGGTGTCCAGGACTGGTGCAAAGGCTACCACTAACGTTGTTTTTCGATCATTATTAGTTCCAAAGTAAGTTTTTCTTAGATGTTGTTGTGTATCATGATTCTGATTGGGCAACGTATAGATTGGCGTGACGGTACTGGAATGAACGAAGAAACACATGAGCATAATTGAAGTTATCGCTGAAAGCCTCATGCGATGTGTGCAATGCTTCAACCTTTTAATCAAATTCTTCGCAGAAATTTCATTAGTGTGGAATGTAGGTTTCATTTCAATTGACCTGTCGAGTTAAAACACCACCATGTGGATTACAAATTAAGACTAAATACAAAATAGGCTGATTTGAACCGTAGCGGCGAGTTGATGAAGTATAATTCGAGTAAAAAAAATAGGCCTGATTAAGAAATAATGCTCATGCTCCCGTCCTGATTGGCCATAAGCTTTCATATTTGCCCAATTGCACTTATCTAAATCGAAAGCCAAGAATATTCAGCATATAATTAACAAAAAAGAAACCTGTTTTGACTTCTGACCCACTTCTACTTGCCACATATGCTCTCTTTCGTCTTTGCCCGTCAAGAAACCAACAATAAAAATTTCATGTCCCACCAATCGAGACGCATCTGGTATCTTGATGGGGCTCAATGAACTGCATACATATTCTACATCAAAAGACACGACACATTGTAGCTACACATATATGTCAGTAGGGGCGAAGTATCGTGAAATCGTCGTGTACTTACTAATTGATCGTAGTCATCGTGCGTTACTATGAGCGAGAGGCCACCTTGAAGTGAAATAATTGAGGTCGAAGAGACAGATTTTACATAGCCGACACTTTGAACTGAGACTTGATTGGCAAAAACGGAGGCCGAGGTCTCCAGGCTCCGAGACACGAGGTGGTAGGTTGGTTCGTAAAATAACCGAGGGGTAGATTGACCATTGGGTGAAATTAATCGGCCGTTTAACACATATACTCCATCTACGGACACAGGCGCAAAGTCTGGTTCAGCTGGAGATCCTTCAATCACATGGTCGATGATTACGCCATCATGATTTTGTGTCGTAATCGTAGAGTGGAATTGTTTGGTGGAAGACAGAGTTACTGATTGAGGATGTGCCTAAATGTCAATCATAATGAGTACAAGCCAATGCGCATTGTACAAAAAAATACTCACGTCTGCTAGGACATCGAATTTGCAGCTTATAGTAAATTGTCGCCCTTGAATAAATGCCGGGACGTCAATGGACATTTTAAATGAACTGACGAGGAGAAATAACGTGATGTGAGGGTTTGACACTTTTAACAGTTGATCACCATATAGGGGTAAAAGAATTTACCGCGAAACTCAGCAGAAGCGAATGTTTCAATTGGGGTTATAACGTTTTTCTTGGTGGCGTCTTGAAAGTAGGGGCGAAAAATGTAGCTTGCTGGAGAGTTGGATTGGGAAGTGTACCCTTACGTAGAGTTCGACTGCCTAGCGCGCGTCAAGGTATAAACAAAATATGGGTGATGAGCAACCTTTGGCAGCAATTTCCAGTTTAGGTATCAATCATAGACCTAGGTGAAGGGAGAGAAACAAACCCCCTTGCTTGAGCTGAGTATAATGCATAGTAGCTGTATTGACGTAAACGAACATCCGTGATATTTAGATAATAAAGGTATTAATAAACGGGAAAGATGCTGCATCCGGTGGTTACATCTGTCATATTTAAAAGAACCTGGTAGTGAGGGTTAACGATATTGTGACGGAATTGGGCGGTAAGGACAGCAAACGCTTTTGAAAAAATGAAAGACACAGAGTGAGGGAATCGTGAACACCGGTGATTGACAGACTACAATCGGCATACTGGACGAACCACGTCGGAATTGTAACATATGAGTACTTCGTCGGAGCCCGGTTTCTATTTTGGGGTAGAGGAATTACACCTATTGAAAACGATTGTGAGATGAAGACGGATTTGGAATGAAGGTTGAGCAAACATCTTTTGTTCAGGCAAAGGCCAGATCACGGTAGATCAGAAGTAGGTATTTATTCAGGGCCTATGGTTCATGATGCAGAACTTCACTACAAGACGAAAGAATACTATTAAAATCATATTATCGCATTGGACATCTACACCCAGGCTATCCAACAATCGATTTTTAATCCAACAGCGCAATGGAGATATACCAACAAGCATATGTGTACGGGTACGGCTTAGTGCGGTGGACCAACTTAAGCGGAAGGATGCTCGGTGTGAAAGAGTGGATGATTGCTCAGTTGATCGTAACTTACTTACAAGGTGAATAACTGCAATCTAGCTTTCATGAATGCCGCTAACATCTTAATTTGCAGAATCTGTGGGAGAACCTAACCCAAAGCATCAAATAAAAGAGTTGTTCCTCGAAGATTGGGAGACAAAAAGGAATGTAACTATATATATTCCATGGCACGGAGAACCCGAGATCATGATACATGAATTCGAAGACTAAGGCTATAAACCGGTGGACAGTGCAATACTTAGTTTAGTAGATGCTTTATTATGTACTTTAGGCCTGTGAATAGGCACACGGCGCAATATGAAGCGCAGGTATTCTGTTTGAAGTATAAATAAAGACTTAAGGCATGGTTCAGTATTTGAATCAACATCGTTATTGATTTCTGACAACGAGCCAACCGTCAATGTGAACATGATTTTTGGGACTAATAAACCACATATTGTAAAGGTTGCGCCTGAAATTATCATGAACCCGAGCCTCCCAACATAACCTTAATTTTGACTCTTCAGAAAATTTTTGTTGAGCGTCGAGCCGAATAGTTATCGTTAGTATGTGTATCAACCAGTGGAGTTTTCCAAAGGCTTTTCCATATGCATCTGGAATATAGGTTTGATTCATGACTAGCCTGAAATGGAACGGAGCCTCCTTACCTCAATGATTCCGGTCATGTGAACAAACTTCGTAATATGGGTTTGCCATTTACATGAGCGCTTTTGATTGCTTATGCGACGACTACTTAGGCAACTTTTACCCCACAAGTCCATTTGCGTCGATTGCATTACGAATTTTGAGAATGGGGCTACCGAGATAACTCAGGCCAGGATGGTAGTAAATTGAGTATCAAACACATAATATCACCATTATTCATTCTCATAAATATCGATATCCGTTTAACATCAATGGAGAGTGCATCAGCCTTAAATCATAATGGTGTCTCTGAATCGGAGTGGACCATGAAACAAAGGCTCCTTGAATTATTTAATTTTATTATAACTGAATTCAATCAACGTGAGTCCTCAGTGGAATAGATTCAGGTCCAAGTTATTAATTGATGATTGCATCTTGTTCACGCCTATGCAGCAACTGTAGGTGGCACCATAATCGAATATCCCACAGGAAGAATACAGGAAGTTCACAAGTTCGGGAATAATGTCTTCAGGATTGAGGGTCACCCGGCGCTCAATGCAAGGTGTATCTATACTAGCTTTGAATATGTCGGAGACTGGATGCCAGGAGACAGACGTAAGTATTTTTTGCAAAGAAGTAAAGTATATGTAAGCCTATGACTAACTGTGATTCAATATTCGACATATAGCCATGGGGATTTTGACGGTGAAGCACACTGATAGAGTTGGATTTGAAAAGGATGTGAATTACCGTATAACAATTTTCAGGGGAAATGAGTCTCACTCGAAGTGCAATAATGGAATTGATGGATCAAGTTATAAAGGAGAATATGGCGTGTGATGAGATGGTGGTTGTCAATATGGCTTTGTGCGGGCAATTAGTTAGGAATGACAACTCGGGGGATTGTTTGAAAGTTTAGGTGGTGGAACATAGATGTAATGCAGAGTTTCACCCGTATGCATTGAGTGTGAGACATTTGAAATCTCTGGGTCTGGGAGCGGGCTTGCCCGCGGAAGCTCTAGTAAATTAAATGAATCACACTACACTTTATTAACAAAATCAATACACTACACAACACCACACTACACTTCATTAACAAAATGAAAACACAACACTACACTATTAATGAAATTCATTACACTACACTAATAAAACAAATCAAACACACTACACTACACTACACTATTAAAATGAAAACACTACACAACACTCAAAAATGAAATTCATTACACTACACTAATAAAACAAATCAAACACGCTACAAACTTGAAATTCACTACACAACATCATTAAAATAAAAACACTACACAACACTCAAAAATGAAATTCATTACACTACACTAATAAAACAAATCAAACACGCTACAAACTTGAAATTCACTACACTACACTATTAAAATGAAAACACTACACAACACTCAAAAATGAAATTCATTACACTACACTAATAAAACAAATCAAACACGCTACACACTTGAAATTCACTACACAACATCATCAAAATAAAAACACTACACAACACTCAAAAATGAAATTCATTACACTACACTAATAAAACACATCAAATACACTACAAACTTGAATTCACCACACAACATCATTAAAATAAAAACACTACACAACACTCAAAAATGAATTCATACACTACACTCCCAAATAAGTCAAT